AGGCAGTTTTTCTTAAAGGTTAAAAATGATTGATCTGTGGCAAAGAAAGGGACTGGTTCTTGCATGGATGTTTCAGTCAGATATATATTTCATATATGCAAATGTTATCAAAATACTTAAAATTTGGATGGGAGTTGAGAAGAAAAATAGTTATCAAAGCTTGATCAGTTTGGATTCTTGGTGTAATTGTGAACTCAATTATTGCTCTGCTCTGGTTTTTATGGCAGAGGAGGATTTGCCAAGGCTGAAAAATAAATTAATCCAACTTTCTCATAAAAACATACTTCAAAAAAGATCATTGACTGTGCACTGACCATTCATTGATATACCACTGATTTTCTCATCATTTTTTTTCTCATTAACAAAATGAAGGTATTTAAGGACCCACATGAATGTTCACAATGTATTTGTTGCTAGGCTGTCTTCTGGAAATGTTACTGTTATTTTTGCACAAGATGAGAAGAAGATATTAAACTCTCCCTGACATGCTGAAAAATATTCTGTCTTCAAAAACGTTCATAGTGAAAGCAGTTAAAATACATAAATATGTTGTTGTTATTACTTTTTTCTATACATAATTCTTGCCATTGCTGGACAGATGATGCTATACGACTACGAGTCGGAAGTTGTGGATGACAAGCTTTTCGCAGTCCCTCTTAAGACAGAAAAAGTTTCAGAGCACCTGAAATAATGAAAAGTATTCACTGAATGCAAATGACGGCTTTCATCTTCCTTTCTGAAGCACATGCTCGTGAATATATACATTTTTGCATATGTAGAAGCTCAAGTGTATCTGCCTTCCGATGAATGAAAGAATGAGGAAATTATCTATTCAAAAGTTTGCTTTTTTTCTTGAATTCTCCAATTTAATTGAAGTTGCTTTCCTGAGATGGAACATTTCTGAGATCTGCCAGATTTGAGAACGGGGCACTGTTATCCCCATCTCCCTCTGTCTAAAGATTTTGTCCTATTTTAAATACCAGTGTTGCTTTTGGTGATATAACAGCCTTTTTGGCAGTTCAGTGCTGTCTGTCTGCATGGGCTGTCCATCTAAAGTAGCGGAGCATGAGAAGCTGATCTCCTAAGGGAACTCCAACAATATCGACAGGCTTGATTGACATAAACCCAGTCTCTCTCTTTCACCTCCACTGAACTCTTAGAGTAAATTCAGGGCCTGATTGAAGAGAGATAGGGCTTTAGCCATTGACTTCCATGGGAACAGAATTTGAACACTAGCAACTACTGCCCTCTCCTAAAGCAGCCCTGAATATCTTGGCAAATGCTGTTTAGAAGCACTATCAATTTGATCCTGCTTCCTTCTCAGGACTGAAAGCCAAGTTCAGGGCTATTTATGTCTTATTAACTAGAGCAGGGTTTGGATGGGAACTACAGCAAGCATTTAAATCTTCTCCTTGAAAAATGGGTTATGGCTTAATGAACCTTGTTCAGTTATTTATTCTTGATATTTCTATTTGTTACTGTCAGGTAGAAGTCAAAGAAAGAGCAGTGCCTTCTATCTTGAAGAGTTTATCAGGATGGAATAGCCTGGAATTTGTCTCAAGTGAATCAATTCTCACTTTTCTGACAGGAAAAAACCAACAGTAGATTTTCCAGATACGCTTCAAAATACCACACATGCTCAAAACTTTGAGGATGTCAAGAACCATACAAAAAGACGTGCTTATCAGTTCAAAATGTGAACATGTACAGATATCCAAATTACATTTTCTATTAAGTCAGCAGTACAAAAGGTGAAAGAAGAGGCAGGGACACAAGCATTTATTTTCAGTCAGTGTGTTCATACAGAGGAAAAGGAGAAAAGTGAAAATTCAGTCCATAAATTGAAGAATATCTGTCTGGAATGGAAGAGAGCAAAAGTAGAAAAAGTTTAAAAGATTCCACTTTTTCCTTCTTCCCTTTCTGCAGTATTTGGGGGTAAAACATCCCACTTCTGCTGTCAGGACTGCTATCAGTCCTTTAATATTACTCATGTAATGTTGATATTGTTTGAAGAGTTCCTAAATATTTTCTTTTTGAATTTATAATTGTAGTACCTAACTGTGATTTTTTTTTTTCTTGTCAGAAGTAAATTTATTATTTTTTAAGCAATTCTGGCATTTCATGAAACCATTAAAAAGAATTCTACCTAGAAATAGTTTTGCTGATCTATTGGAATATGACATGCTTTTTCTGGTGTATTCTGTTATGTATTTGATTAGTAAGAATGATGGTACTAATGTCAAATATTCACGTGCATCTGATCTTGCAAAGCCTAGAGAACCTTTCTAACAAGGGATTTCAAAAGGGCTGAAGTAAACCAGCAATTTGAGTTTTTCTGTGTACTTAGACCAACATATTTGGACTCCTAAGACTCTGTTACACTCTACCTTATGTCCTGAAAGAAGAAAGATTATTAATTTGATTTCTTTATATTTTGAGGTTGGTTACCATAGTTGTTTCCAGGTGTAAACCATTAAGACCTACACCACTTCAGAGCTAATAGGATAATTTTCTGTCTTGCTGGATTTAATATGCTATGTGCCTGTGTTTTAAAAAAAACAAAAACACAAACACACAAACAAACAACCCCAAACCATGTTATCTGGACACTGTCTTCCTGCCAGAACATTTTCTTTTGATGTTTTCGCTTCTGGTAAAGTTGATCAACACAGATCTACTTTCCCCCAGGAATTCCCGTAAGATTGCTGTAGAATAATATATCCCTCCCCAGTAGAAACTTGCGTGTGAAAGGCATGATACCATTTCCTTTTCCATCTTCTTCTCTGCCTCCTGAAAAGTCTGTACAATGTTTTTCACTTTTTTTCTGGATGGTAAAGGGGTTAAAGTTGTTTGGCAGTTCCGTTCAATCTCACTCAGCTTTAGGAAGCCCCAAGTTAACAAGTAAGAGTTTGTCAGATGGTAATGCTGGATATTGGGAAGTCCAGAAAAGCAACAGCTTCCTGCTTGTGGTTGGCTAATAAATAGGGAGGATATGTAGTAAACCATACGACTTCCTAGCTTGCTCAACCACATCACAGTATATAGGCTAATACCACATGTGTACGTTAGCACATGATCGTTGCATGTGTAAATACGTGCAAATTTTTCTTGCATGCTCCTCCTAATGGTATTGTATGTTGCTTGATAGCTGTTAAGTGCTTAAAAGAAAAACCTTTTGAAGCTTCAGATGTGATGTTCAATAGGTCTTTGCTAATGCTGGCTTAGCACCTGCTCCTCCCTCACAGTCACATCAAAGTGAATTGTAAGTAACTGCTCTGAAATCACGCAGCATCGCGCTGTGGAGTAAAACTGGTGAAAGAGCAGGGCAATCGGCCCTGTAAAATCTCTCTGCAGAAAGAATCTCCACAGCCACCTGGATGCTTTTAAACCTTCATTATTTTAAATTTAAAATGGTTGGCTGAGCATTGCTTCTACCAAAATCTGATACAATAATCGAAGTCAGAGGTGGGGAAGGACCTCTGGGGTCACACAGTCGAGCTTTCTGCCAATAATGGATTGTTCCCTGCAGTTCAGTTTCTAGTGACCTTGGAAATTACTAGCCTGGTAAAATGGTAATGAAAAAACAAAGCTGTTAAAGCTTCAGAAGTAGCCAAAGTGATGCTGTCCCAATGAGAAATTGTGTTTTTGATGTAAGATTCTCTATGTGCATTGCTCCTTGGTTGCAGTCTTGAAGTGGCCACACTTTTAATCTATGCTTTCTGACACGTTTTGAGCTGGCTATAACTAAGAGGTATGGTGAGGTGAGCTTGTTTTAATATTATATGAACTTATCCTTTAACCAAATCACAATTTTTATTACAAATAAATGAGTCAATAACCTGACTAACCTCCTTACTGCAACATTTCCTTCATGTCACTGCACTTTCATTTTTTTAGCTTTTCTAACTTCCCAGAAACAGGAAATGAGGAGAAAAAACCAACATGTTTCTTGCCTTTTTCCACTAAAACCCTTGGTTAAGTAACTAGACCTTCTACTTTTCATGCTTGGAACCGAAAAATTCTTGAAAAAATTCAGATGTGACACATCTTTTTTCAATTTCTTTCAACCATGCCGATATTGGATTACTTACCTGTTGATGTAGGGAATAAAGGACGGTCTTGATATACACCTAATGAAGTGGGTAGAATTTGTTCCCTCTTTTAAAAAGGAGGCAGCAAAGGCAAGATCCCACCAGCAAGCTAATTACAGTTTTGGCTGAAAAATATTTTAGGAGGCTTTTAGAAGCTGGGTAGATGGGAAAAGATCCCAAGACACAAAGTTCCCTTCCTGTTGTACCCGTTTGATGTGTGGTAATTTCTTCACTAGGGGGCCCTATTGTGAGCTGCCTTTTGGGGTGTGCAGCTCTCTGAATATCCTTTCTTCCTGGGGCTCCAGCCCCCCTGACTATTGTATTCACACACACCAGATCTCAGTTGGAGAGGAAAAGGGTTTTCTCAGCTGCCAACTTGCTTAAAAGAGGAGTTAAGAGGAAAAGAAAGCTAATTGGACTGTGCTTGGCAAAAGTCTCTATGCTGTTTATTCAGATTTTTAAAGGAGTGGGTGCCGAGAAACACAAAAATAGTGAGAACACTTATTCCTTAAACAGATTCTTGCAAAGTTTTTTACAATAAAAACAGAAAGCTGCTTTAGTAAAGCAGTGTTTATCCTTGCACTAATGCTGGTCATGAATACGTGTCTAACTTAGCTGGAACTAATGCCTGACTCTACTATTCCACTACAGCAACTTAACATTCTGCGTAGGCTGATTATTTTTTCAACAATATTTGCTAAATTCTTTTAAGGGCTGCCAGTATATATTTTTTGAAGCTTAGTTAGTAAGAACAGCTGCCAGTGGAGTCAAGGCTAAAAGAGGCAAAAAATATCTGCAGAAGGCAAGATTTTACTTCAAAAGATCAGTATTACAAAGCACTACTGTTGCTGGTATAATCACTTTCTTTGGGGGGGATGCTAATATAGACTGGGTTTCTTGTCTTCACAGCCCCCACTGAGCCTTTGCTGTGCAAATTTGCTGATGGAGGGCAAAAGAAGCGCCAGAATCAAAGCAAATACACACAGAATGGAAGGCCGTGGCCCAGAGAAGGAGAGGTAAGTGACATGCGGCAATTATTTTCCCGGGGTTTGGCAGAAGTCAGCTGCAGACCTGGAGGTCTGCCTTTCAGGGCTATGAAGAAATCAGATTGCACACAAAGTACAATAGTTTCACACAGAAAAAGGTATATAAGCAGGGGGGAGAGGGAGGCTTATAATAACGTGAGGAGTGTAAAGTTACAGGAAAACAGAATTTCAGAGCTTGGTGTGGAACTCTGCGCAGCCTTGCGCCACCAAAAGCACTCTGTCTGCAGCCGGGCCTGAGCCCAGTATTCTCTTACTGGTGTGCCATCAGCCCCATGGCCTATCTTTTATAAACCCCAAATCAATCTACACTTAAGCAGCTCAACAATGTTATTTCCTCTATATAGTTCCTGCTGATAAAACATCATCAGGGAATAGATGGGTTGTTGCTATGGGAAAGATGCGCTTGCACATCCAAATGTATGGTCTATGTAAAAGTTTTCCACAAGCTTATCTGTGCTGGGCTCTTTCTTCTGTCCAAGACAAAACAGTTTACAGTAGCCTCTGTTCCATCATGTGTACAAAGTTCTTTTAAAAAAAAAAAAAAAATATCTAATGGTTGCTTTCTGCTCTGCTGCAGACAGTCTTTTACTGACTGGAGTTTCCTTTCTGTGTGCTTGTTCATGAAGTGGCTCCAAACATGGGTGAAGTAAGAAAGGAATTTATTTAACTCTTCAAGAGTTTTTTTACTCTTCTTGAATGTTATTATAGGATAAAGACACTTGAATAAATGAGGTAGATCTGGTCATAGTACCTTCTTATGCACGATTATAGTTACAAAGGCTGAAGGACTTATAAGTATTTCCATCCTAAACATCTCTTCTTTGTGATTGTGATTTAGACTTCAAGGAAAAAAAAAAAAAGTACATTGCTCAGTTGTGACCCACTAGAATACAAGTTGGTTGGGGTTTTTTTTTCTTTTCTGGTGGGTTTTGCTCTATTTACTTCAGTTTTGCAAAGCAAATAAACAAGAAAACTATTTGGTATTTCTACGTTATATGTTTCTAGAGAGTTTCTCCTTTTTTGTAACTACTTGGTTTTGCTACCTGATACTTTTCGGACTGTTAGCTTAGGACATATATACTCTAGCATGATTGGTGAGCTCCTAAAACAAACAGAAAGGCCTCTTGAAAGCATAGAAATTTCCCCTTCCAGCAAGGTGGTTATTGTACACTGTTCCAACAGTAATGCTCCAAAATATTTTTGGTTTTGTGCGCTGAAAGTGTCACTGTGGCAGCCACATTTCCTACAAGAAATTGCAGAAGTCTCCAAAGGTTCATTACAAACTCTTATGTTGTATGTCTCAAAAAATGGAGACGTCTTCTTAGAAGCCGTTATGGTTTGTCACGTTAAGGATCTCCTGAGGAACAAGTGCACAAGAAGTACTTCAAGTGGTAGACTCAGGTCATTGCAGTGAGCTTGAAAAACAAAGGTCTATATAGGAGACAATAATAAACCTTCAATAAGGTCAGCAATCCATATTTTAAAGACCTCTAAATCCCTTTTTAAATAGTAAATACCATCATAGCTATTATCTTCACTGTTCTATACTTCCTTCAGTTCAAATCAATAAACAAGAGAATATAAAGTTAAAGCCAACAAGCCATCATTATGCCTGTGGCCTCAGGACATCAGCTTATTATATCATATGTAGTACATTTGCTGCTAGTGGAGTGGCTCATATTAAGCACAATGATATCCCTGTGACCTAGAGGCAGGGTGTGGTTGGTGTGTTTATAGTATCAACATTTAAAAACTAATTTTCATTGCTGGGAGACATTATTCCTTATTGTTGTTCGCAGTCAACTACAGAGCTGTTGTCATGGTATAATCTACAAACATGTAAAGGTTGTAAAGATACAAACTCAGGAATATTTCAGGATAGGAATGTGCTCTGTTTTCTTTGATTTTCTTAGATTTTCTCTGTTTTCTAACATCTGGTTAATACCTGGCTGCACACTGGATATTGGACAAGAATGCGTGTTCTCTGTTAGGTTCACTCATTTATTGGATTTCTTCCCCACCGTTGTTAATGTTTTTATTTCTAATGTAAAATCCTTCTGCATAATTACTCTTATATTTTATATGCAATGGGGGTTTTCTAACTCTTTGTCCTTTAATGATCTTACTCGAACCATGATGTACCATTCAGTTGTTCTCTGTGTAGCAGCACTCGGGTAACCTTCCTACAATTATTCCTGTCAACTTTAATTTCTTCGTAGTGAGAAATAATTGATATATGACAAGTGTCATAGTTCTGATTAAAAGCGGGCTCTGGAATTATTCCCTGAACCTCTGCTTTTCCTTGGTTTCTTCCCCGAAGAAAAGCATTGAAATAGTGTCCAAGAGATTGCTGCCTCAGTATTTCCACCCTGGCCAAATCCTGCAGTATCTAGACCAAGATGTATTTGGCTATTGCTCAAATAAGCCTTTGCATTCTTGAATACTTATGTGAAGGACATTTATAAAACTTCTGAGGTTTAACGAGCATTAACATTTAGCATGCGTGAGGATTATTGCTTGGAAGGAAAGACCCCAGAGAAATGGCACTAACAGTTCTGTCACTGGCCTCAAATTTGAGTATGCGGAGCAGAGACAGGCAGCTGTGCCCAATACTCTGCTGTAGGGGGGAAATGGCAGGAGATTTAGTGGGGAAGAGCAGGTTTTACCTCTCTGGCCATGCTCTTCTCAGAGGTTTTGCTCTTTTTTTATGAAGAGCTTCTGGGGAAATTTATAAGAGAGAATTACTTTTTTTTTTTTTTTTTTGAATTTTCAGGCCATCCTGCAGAATGTAATAGGAAACCTTGTTCCTATGATACATTTTCATAGATTGCTGCATAACCATATAGAAATACTTTAGTTGGCGGTTAAATTGACTGTTACTTGGCCAGTTGTAACCAAGGAAGAGTGCCTGACCTTTATAAGAGAGAATTACTTTTTTTTTTTTTTTTTTGGTATAATTTTCAGGCCATCCTGCAGAATGTAATAGGAAACCTTGTTCCTATGATACATTTTCATAGATTGCTGCATAACCATATAGAAATACTTTAGTTGGCGGTTAAATTGACTGTTACTTGGCCAGTTGTAACCAAGGAAGAGTGCCTGACCTTGAATAGCACTTTTTAGTCCTTACCCTTTTACTCTTGTTTGAAGCCTCAGGAAATACTCAGCAGATTTACTGAGGCATTTGACTGAGGATTTGTGATGGCTGACCAGTTCTGGACTAAGAACTCAAGAGCTTAGATTACTGACGGCTTTGTAAAAGGCTGTCAAATTAGGCATCTAACATACAGGTGCAATAAATGTACAGTGAAAACTGCAAATGTTGGAAATACTTGCAGTGAAACTCTGACCTAATAACTGACACAATTTCTCCACAAAGTTCAGTTATTATTTTTCAGGCTGTTTTTTCCTGAGTCACACTGGTTTAATTTGGCACTCTGTTTTGAAACTTTCCCTGACAAGATCATGTTAATATGGTGATACAGGGTAATCATATTCAAATTCTGTCCGTAAAATATTTGATTTAATTTACCTCTAAATTGCAATTGACAAGTCTAGAGGTGGGTGACACATCTCCAAAAAAATGTTCATTAGCTGAAAATGCATTGGGGGAATGAAGACTAGTTACAAATTGAGATCAGATTGGATTAAAAATTGCAACTTAAATTTTACAACATAATTTTTTATTGCAGATTTACTGAAACTTTCTTTTGGTTATTCAGATATAAAATCTTTTGATATGTGCATGTAAGAGAGGGTTTATTTGAAATTTATCTCATGGAAAGGGAAAGATCTTACATAAACTGAAAACAAATGAAATGCTTTGCACCAGCCCAAAGTTTATTATTGTTTACATTCTTCTAGAAAGAACAGTTCTAGAAATGGTAGCCTTTCTGTAGCTGATCAGCCCAAAGTTATTATTTTTTTTTTACAGTCACAATATTTTGAAACCTCTGATACTTTGTTTGCAAGTTTCTGTAAAATTCAGACCATTTAAATATTTGCATACAATGCAAAAATTTCTTGCAAGAGCATATCACCATTAGAGTATTGGTACATATATGACAACAGTGACATGCACCATAGAATGTGACCCCCGCCTTGTCATTGAATTTGGTCTGTTGTCTAGAATGATATTTAATAATTGCCACCAGTAATTCTTCTATTGATTGCTTTCTTGCTTCTGTAATCTGGGTTATATTTTTGTTTCTAAATATCCAAGAGGTTAACCTCCGTTTCCTCCTCTTCCCTCTCTTCCTCCTTTCCCCCTTTCTCCTTTGTTTTCTTTCAAGATCAGTTGGTTAAATGTCTAAAGAATTAAACATGTTTTTAATTCTTTCTTAAAAAAATATGACCTAGTAGTTTGTGAATGTTGCTTTTGTTAAGTTTCTCTTTTTATCTGCTATTCATTACAAATTTGTCTAATGTAAACAGTAATTTAGAGAGAAAAATATACAACAGGTAATTTGAGAGACTTCCTGATTTTTTTGTAAAGTCAGTGACAGTGTAGTGCTGAAGCAGTTGATCCTGGTGCCAGTCATCCCTTCTGTACCAGCAGCAGGCATTTAGAAATGATTAGTAAATCTGCACCAGGCCCATTTATAAGTCAGGCATACATTTCTTTTTTATGCTTCCAAGGAGGTAGGTTCTACTTAGTTGTGTTTCATTATTCTTAGTGTCTAGGGCTGATGTGTTTAATACCTAGATAAATAATTTTTTCTTTTCTGTGCGAGACAATTCCCAGGCCTGTCCAGCTATGCAGTAGTACCCTCATATGCAAACCATGCACAGACATTTACTTTATCTTTAGCGTGTATATAAGGTAGACATTGGTCAATATTTTGTATGCTTATTTTTGGCAAAAGCATAGCGAAGAAAGGAATTGAACCTGAAGAGAGAAAGTAGGACAAAAGGTAACTAGCAAATAAGTGAGAAGATACAGAGCAATGAGTTAAAAACTCTTCATGACA